AAAACAGTAAAAAATTACTAGGCACCAGTTGATATGAGTGGTGTGTACAATCAGAACTGTAGACAAACGGGATCCTCCCCGTATAAATATATGCATAAAGAAAATTATTCAGTCATAGTTTACGTTTGTCTGTATGACAGAAATGTAATTGGATAATTTTCTTTATGCATATGGTTATGCGGCTCTGCAAGTTGTGTGGAATGGCCCTTAAGGGGATGCTGGAGTGACGGTCGAAGTTAATCAAGGTCGATAGTACAGATTTTTTAAAATTCCAAATTCGACAATAGTGACATCTTTCGTCCATTTCTTATACTTATTATATATCATTGTGTCTCGCTCAAACGCATTCATCTACTGCTCGGTTTCATGGCTAAACATGAAATTGTCTAAACTGTCGTACCCACATCGTCGATTTCTCACGCGCTAGACACACAATTTCGTAGAATGTAATTATCTTTTTATTTAGAGGTCAAAACTCAATTCTAAAGATATGACTGTATTCGTCTTTTTATTCTACATATGCTCCTGCCCTAATTTTGCATATAACGTGCATATAATTTTTTCACGAAGTAAATGTTTGGTGAGCTGATAGCACATGGATACAGAAAGCTGTAATTTATTATTTTTCTCAGCTTTGGACACAAAACACACCAGGAGCAGGTACATTAGCACGGATATTTCAATCGTGGAGAAGGAATTTTTATTCCGTGCAACTCTCTAATTCGTAGAATATTGCATTTAACATAAACGAATGCTTTATCGGTAAAAAAGAAGATTCCAGCATCCCCTTAAGTAGTGTAGTTATATTTTTTATCTAAATTCGTTTCTACTTTATGATAAACTTACTTTCATAATTTTTATAGTTTTTACTTGCTGTACAAATTTTCTTGATATAATCGCCAAATGGCAAGGGATTGCTAAATGTATCCACTGCGTTTAATCAATCTTATCGATCTTTCATTTCCTTTTTTACTCTGGCCGCAACATTACTGAGGGCGTTAGTGGACGGCGAAATTTTTCTCCGCCGCCAACTCCCGTAAAAATGTCGGTCTTTAATAATATCTCGACGATGGTGTTGGTGAAAGAGGCTCTAAAACGTCCGGTTTAGGGCCTGAGCACAATAGAGGAACAGGAATTAGATATTAAGATTTCAACCTATCAGAAACTGATTACATTGGAATACGCGATTTCTGATAGGTTGAAATCTTAATATCTAATTCTTGTTCCTCTATTGTGCGCAGGCCCTTAAACGATTCCTGAAAATGTGCCTTAACGCTGAATCGTTCTTTTCCAAGGAGCCGACCAATCAGACGTCCTTACATTTCTGTTTCTCTCATGCTTGCCAATTACAAAATTGAAATCAATTGAAATTTTTTGCGAGGAACGAGGATTGAAATAGATTGGAGGACGGTGTTCATAGTTAAAAGGACATTTAAATCTCCGTATATATTTTAATTGTTTAATTATTATTGTTATTTATAAATCATCGTAAAATGTTGCGCGTCATTGCGAGACGAGTACAGGTGTATACTCAGAAACGGAGTCACGTTTCATTAAAATAGTGTAGTTTGTAAGTCTTAACCTGCCTGCTTTACAACAACATTGTTGTTTTCAGGGTGTAAAGATTACTTCTTTACGGACATTTAGCGCACAGGCTTCGAGTACCATGAGTTCACCCACAGTGAATACTAATGTGCCAGGTCTCAGCAATAATGTTGTCGAAGTACCAAACACACGTAAGAATAAACAGTATCATTCTATATTATCAAGGAACATTTTTGCTAAGACAAGTTTCAGTTTGAACTGAGAATTTCTTCAGCTGTAGGACCCAACGCCTCCAAGGATACGGAATACAAGAATCCCGAATACTTTTGCTATCATGTAGACTCGTTTGGGGAAGCTGAAGTGGAATTGGCCAAGTACAGGTTGCCAGCACCATCTAATAGCAGACCATTTAATAAATAAACGATAGAACAAAAGCTTGCAGATAGTAGGGACAAAATAATAAATTTAATAAGTTGAAAAAATGTACAAAAGAGATGGCGATGATGAGCTGTGTGTATTCAAAACTGTGTTACATATTAATTAAGAAAAATATGTTTAATTATCTGTGTAATCCCCCTTGTCGTTTTCATTTTATCCCTGAGAATGGAAATACTTTGTGTTGAATGTTATCTTGTAACTGCCACTTATAAAATGGACACAAACAGCATTGCATGAGATTTTCAACATTTCTTAAATTCTCAAAAAGAGATGGAAGGATATCCACACTAAAGAGATGTGCCACTCGGCACTGTGTTGATTGCACATATTTGGCACATAGTGACATAGCTCCTTTTTGTATGCGTTTCTTCCATTCCTTTGATGGAATCGCGTTTTAATTAACACAACTGGAATGTCTAGGATCAACTGGTTTAGAGTGTTTATTTATATAAAAATTCCAGATGGAGGTTCAAAGTGCATGGACTAGACCGAACTGATTGGTTCTCCTCCTTGCCCTTCATCGATAATCATAGCTGACTTCCATGTAAAATTAGAAACGTGCCAACCATACAACCGTTTGGTCTATGACATAATGAGCAACATATACATATGACTGATATAACGATGACGCCCGGCGTGTCACGCCATAGTCGCCAGACTGTATAAAGTCGACCAACCCGGTCCTTGTTGCATAAAAGTGCAACGCGCCCGCGCGACAAGGTTAGGGTTCAACGACGAAGACACCTCCTTCCGTCGCTTGGCTGACGTGGAGTCGATTTACTTTTTTTGCGTTTTTCCTTCTTCGTTTTCCCCCCTTTTGCTCTCGTTTTCCCTCTCTCGTCCGTGTCGACGGACCGATCGTCAACGAACTAAATCCCGAGTCCGGTGAGTGCTCGACTAGAAATACCAGTGAGTGCTGAATTCCTCATATTCGCGCCGGGTTCCTCGCCGATGTGAATTCACGTTTGGATCGAGGTCGGCGTTCGTTCTCTTGCATTTTCTCCGTGTCGTTTGCGCACCCGCGCAGAATACGCGAGTGCGCTCCAAGCAAACCCCGGGCATGTCGTCCGTTGCGCGGAATCGGTTCCTGTCGGCGCTCAGCGTTCGCCCCCCCCGCCGCTGTCAACCACGCGCACATAGCACACATAGGCGTGCGCCGTGGGAATACGGCGTGCTGGAGGTGAGACAAGGACAGATAAGAAGCGCATTATTATTGAATCATCTCCGTAACGATCGCTCTGCGATAAGAATATTTTTGAGTTTCCTCAGTAGAATAGAATTTATTTTTTTTTAATTTTCGAGAGTGAAGAAGGTTAATTCCCAATTAAGGAGAACAAGCAAATAAAATAATATCAATTTGACGTCATATTGGACGGAATTTATGTAATTTTTTGGTCATGATAAAAATAACAAATTCGGTCAATATGATATCAAATTGACATTATTTTGATTTTCTTGTTTTCCTTGGGAATTTATTCTCTTTGATCAAGGCAAAAACGGTAAATCTAATGAACAAGAATGAAAAAGTATTCTTATTTGCATGTCCAGATTTCATAGTCAAAGCTCATAGAAAATAAAAACAGCGTGATGAGTTTAAGGTGCCTTAAAGGTGAGACGAGATAAAAAGCGCATTATTGAATCATCTCCGTGATGATCGCTCGATCTGTAACAAGAATATTTTTGAGTTTTCCCAGTAGAATAGAATTTTTTAAGATTTTCAAGAGTGAAGAAGATTCCCAATTAAGGAGAACAAGCAAATAAAATAATATCAATTTGACGTCATATTGGACGGAATTTATGTCATTTTTTGGTTATGATAAAAATAATAAATTCGGTCAATATGACATCAAATTGATATTATTTTGATTTTCTTGTTCTCCTTGGGAATTTATTCTCTTTGATCAAGGCAAAAACGGTAAATCTAATGAACAAGAATGAAAAAGTATTCTTATTTGCATGTCCAGATTTCATAGTCAAAGCTCATAAAAAATAAAAACAGCGTGACGAGTTTAAGGTGTCTTAAAGGTGAGACGAGATAAAAAGCGCATTATTGAATCACCTTCGTGATGATCACTCGATCTGCAACAAGAATATTTTTGAGTTTTCCCAGTAGAATAGAATTTTTTATTTTTTTAAGATTTTCAAGAAGATTCCCAATTAAGGAGAACAAGAAAATCAAAATAATATCAATTTGACGTCACATTGACGGAATTTATGTCATTTTTTGGTTATGATAAAAATAACAAATTCGGTCAATATGACATCAAATTGATATTATTTTGATTTTCTTGTTCTCCTTGGGAATTTATTCTCTTTGATCAGGGCAAAAACGGTAAATCTAATGAACAAGAATGAAAAAGTATTCTTATTTGCATATCGGGATGATTAACAGTTAAAGCCCGTAGAAAATAAAAACAGCGCGAATAAAGATGTTTTAAATTAAGGGTGCCTCTACATAATTCGCAAATCGCAAAACGTAGTTCGCAAATGCTGAAGCAGAATGACGATCATCGCACGCAAAACACACACAGATGAAAACCAACTGCATGCAATGAAAAAATAAACAAATCTTCATTCTGCGTCTGCGTTTGCGAACTAACTACGTTTTGCGATTTGCGAGTTATGTAGAAGCACTTTTAGGAAGATACGAGAATCCGCGAAGTAGAGAAAGAAAACTTTCTTGTTTATATACAGATGAGAATGAGAAATATAATTGCTGAGTAGTTCTGATAAATCTTCCTTTTCTTCAGCTGTGGTTTAGAAGAATCGCCCTTTTCGGATCTTTTGATTCGAAATGTTTTCATGTCAATACTTTGCGAGTTATGTCTGACTAACAATAAGCGCATCGCACAATTTTTGCGGTCTACATCACCCTTAAAGAGCCCCTTTCTCTTTGTCGTATAATATTTCTTTTACCACTGCTTCTTTAACCGAGTTACTCTCTAAACTTTTAGAGTAAATCTCATTCTGAAAATCTACTTTTAAAGATTGAAAAATACTCGTAAAGATTAAATAAGATAAAAATGAATCACTCTTTTTCAAGTTCAATTTTCATTCTTTAGAGAGTCTACTCAAAGATTCTACTTAAAATAATTTAGAAAGTAGAAAGTAGAAACAGTTCCTTGAAACGTTATCATTTCTACATACGTTAAAATCGTTAAAATCGAAAAGTTGTTGATTCAAAAATTGTATCGAAATTTTATATGTTTGTTATGTTCAAGTAACAAAAAATTGCGTATAGTATATACGCAAATAATGGGAGTTGATACAGTTTTCAATATTTTGGTGTATACAGAGTATCCCGATCTTTTTTACTAATCACTTTTGTGTAGATAAAAGCGGACTAAACTGAGTCGAAAAGTCCTCTACCATTTAGCAATTTTTGCAATAGTTAACAAGATATTAATTACTAAAAATTGCAAAATATTGGTCTTGAATAATTTTTTACTCAAATACTATCAACTTTACAGAAAAACTGCAAGAGACAAAAATTATTTATTTTTTTCTCATAAAATTCTGAGAATTTTTTCAGAATTTTTTAATACCGTATTTTCTCATGTTAGTAAAAATAAAAAAATGCTGTACTAAAAAGTTGATAAAAAATCCTGAAAAAATTCTTAGAACTTTATGAGAAGAAAATAAATAATTTTTGTCTCTTGCAGTTTTTCTGTAAAGTTGATAGTATTTGAGTAAAAAATTATTCAAAACCAATATTTTGCAATTTTTAGTAATTAATATCTTGTTGACTATTGCGAAAATTGCAAAATGGTAGAGGACTTTTCGACTCAGTTTAGTCTACTCTATCTACACAAAAGTGATTGGCAAAAAAGGTCGGGACACCCTGTATATAGGTATATAATATATAGTCTTATATTCTGAAAGTTTTCCCCTTCAAAGACTGAATCAACATTCTCTCGATCTCATTTCAACTTTCAATTCGAAAATTAATTAAAACTATAGTAAAAAAATCTATTAGAATCAAGAAAAATGTTGAAAATTTTTGATGTCAAAACGTATTTTCAAGAAACTATTGATTGGGAAATTAATTAAGAGTTATTAATTAAAAGATAAATTAATTAAGAGTTATTAATTAAAAGATAGTCATAGAAAGTCAATAAAGTATTAAAGACATAAGTATTCGATAGTTTCAGTCATTTCTTTCCGATTAAAGTTTAATCTTTAAGTACTTTGAACTTGTCATCGATTTTATCAGAAGAATTTTTCACGAGAGGATGTGTGATTTCAGCTTTTGTAATAAGATTGAAAAGAATAATCGGTCAACTTATCATTAGCATTTCGATGCGCGTAGTTGTAATGCAAATCATTCACGATAAAAAATGAATTAATTAACGTGCGTTTTCTTCTGTCTTTTTCTTTTTATCGAACATTTGCAAGAAAGCACGTTCCGCATTAAACGGAGGTCGTTTGTTTAATGAACACTTTACGCTTTATACGTGCTGATCCTTGATTTTTCAAGACACGAATGCAACATGCTTTGTCACAGCTGTACGAAGACAAACTATTATCGAGCGATTATCGGGCGATCCATAAAGATCGATAAGCTAAACGATTCCCTGCTGCGAAGGAATTTAGGTTTTAGAAATCTTGTTTTTCTACATTTTTTTTTCTACTTTCACGTATTATTTATCGAAGCCTCAGGCCATTGATTTGAATCAATTTTCCTTACAGCCGACTAATTAAAATTTATCCGTTTATTTACAATTAAGGCATATTCAATTGAATTTAATTAGCTTTGTTAGAACAGCTGATTTCGAACGCGGGTTATTATATTTCTTAAATATTTTTATATTTTCAAAATATTTTAACGATAAATTAAATACTCGTTACAAATCATCATTTAGGGACAGTTGTTCCATCTTCGGATAAATTATATCATAACTCATTCAATGGATAAACAAAAGAGTAAAAAAGTATAAGAGCAAAGAGTAAGAGAATGAAAGAGTGAGTTGAAGAGTTCATCAAAAAGTAAAAACAATCTAGCCTTACAAATACGAATATGTGTGTAATAACGTGTCACATTTGTTAGAATAAGCACTACATTAAGAGATTAACAGATTTGATAAAACTTGTCTTGTGTATATATTGTAATACATTTATTTTCTAAATTCTTTGGAATGGAATTGCATTCTAAAAATTGACTGTTTTGAAAAAGAGTGGCTCAATCTTCTATCTTTAAGAGTGAGATTTCATTCTTCAGAGTGAGATTTACTCTTAAAAGTTTTGAGAGTATGGCCTAGTTTACACCGACGGTTCGATCCGGGTCAGAATGCAAGAATCAACCAACTGTAGTCGAGCATTCCCCTGTTACAGTCGAATGACAAGGGAATGCTCGACTGCAGTTGGTTGGTTCTTACATTCCGACTCGGATCGAACCCTCGGTGTAAACTAGGCTATGATTAATAATAAAATTAAGACAGCATCAAAATATTATTAAATTCAATGAATCAGGAATAAATGTTACTAAATTAATTTTTTCAAATCTATACAAATACAATTCAAATTAAACAAAGTAAAAATGTAAGTCCCTTAAACTTTGTTCTTCGTAAATTTTTTTATTCGATCCAATTCGCTCGCAAAGCAAGTATATTTCGAAAGAAGTCACAATTAGATTTGTTTTACCGTTCGTTAATTTCGTTCAGTACTATGTTCATTGTCAGTAAAATTACGTTACGTACGCGTACGTGCAAATTTCTGACAAAACAAAGAAGCCTCATGACTCACGGCAATGATAACGACAGTTTGAATTATAAAATATAAAAGCTATTTTTATATTTCGCTAGATACGCTGAATATTATCGTACATTGTAACTGAGATCGTAACGTGTCTTGTTAGATCATTGATAAAGTTGTTTACTCGACGCTGCGCTATTCCATGCCTGCAGCCTACCAGAAACGACGTGCGTGATTTGCAATGTGTGCTCGTATTTATGCCGTGGTTATCACGTGGAACATCGGTGTCGGATAGATAAGTCTAATTGATTTCAGTTTACCTTTACCTTTTAAATATTCACTTTTATTAGCGCTTTTTGTCATATACCAAGAAATTAGCAAAGGCTCTATTGATACTACTGATTATCGCTCCAGCCGCAGACATAATTCTGTATTTCTGAATATTTGAAAGAACAATATGTTTTTTATTCACAAGAGCTTCGATGCTGAAGTACACTATATCTTCAAAGTCCTCACATGATTCAGCATAAGTCTTAAAATTTCAGTTTGCGAAAATTCTGAAATTTCCTCTAAAAACAAATCAATTCTGCGTTCGACAAACGTATGGGATGGCTTTAATTGTCGGTTATTAATCTCTAATTTAATAATTGTTGTACAACTAATATCCGTATTATCGCGCCATATGGTATAATATTATCGTTTGAGTTGAAATATACTGTGTATGCAGCTTGTAATAACAATTGTAATACCTGCTTGAAGTTGCAGTTAGAACGTGGCTCAAATAAATTGCAGATGCAAATGAACTTGTTTTTATGTACGCGAATAAACACGTTTATTAGCTGACGATGTCCAGAGCCTTACGTACAGTCAGTGCAAAGAGTATTCGTATAAAGAAATTTTTTTATTAAAAAAGTCTTATTTGTAGACAATAAACATTAATTAGCAATTTTATACAATGAATACATTCTGTTCTAACATAAACAAACGAGCTTTGCATGTATTCCTGATTTTAGAAGCTAAATTTCTCCGCCGAATACTTTTTGAGCATCCAAATGATACAATTTTTAATTTTCGCTTATTTTTTAAATGATATATTTTCTATAAAATTAATACACATCTTTTTGGTATAGATAATTTTAAGAAATATACAGTTTATTTTATTTTTTATGAATAAATAATTGTTAATTTCTCTCAGCAAGAAATGATCGTCAATTAAATGTCGAATCGATGTCAAATTGATGTTGAAATCATCGTATCGATATCGATTCGACATCAATTTGATGACTCATTTCTCGCTGGATAATATTTACTTTTTAAAAATAAAATTAAAAAAAAAATATTTTCTTTGTACGAATAGTTTTTGCAATCACTGTAGATTACATTCGGTTCATTCTTTCTAGTTTATTCTAGAGCTTAATATATTACTTTAATATAATATATACATGCGTCAGTAATAATTTTTTTTCTATTCGCTTTGCTACCAATATAGGCGTATCCAGGGGGGTTTAAGTCGAGTTTTCAGGCTAATCATGTTTATCGAAAACTGCTTGAACAAATCTAAGGCAGGATGTATACTGAAGAGAGATCTCGGAATTAAAAAAAAAATATATATATATAGTAGTATGGCTCAATAAAATTAAAACAATATAATTAAAAGAAGGGCTACGAGCCAAAAACAATAATTTTAATTTATAACAGTAATAAGGCTCAATAAATTTAAAAAACCGAAAGAAAAAAGGGCTACGAGCCTAAAATTAAAACGTTATAAATTAAAATTTTAAACCGTTAATAAATAAACATGTCATTTAGTTAAAATATAAAACTTCAATAAATAATAAAACAAAATCAAACGTTTTGATCCCTGTTAGATCATTATTAATGTTAACAAAAATAACAGTGGATTATTACAAAGATAAGATATAAAAAAATTATAGTTCGCTCTCAATCGCAGTATTAATATCATCAATCTCGCTCAGTATGAAGTAAATATAAAAATGTTGTAATCGGTAATTATGTATTCCTCTGGTTTATGTGTGTAGATTATGGACAAATGTAATTGTTTCTGCTAAAAAATACAAATATAATGTAAAAATATAACAGGAATAATTAATCAAATAATAATCTAATACGAGAAATACAAAATAAGAAGCAAGAAATAAAAATAAAAAAGTAATCTAATATTATAATAAATGTAAACTAAATTCATTAATACGAATTGAAAGTGTGCGATGTACAGTTATAAATTATATATATTTAATTTAGTAGCAGCTAAATTAAATGAGAATAAATACCTTAAATTGTGTGTCAATATAATATAAAATCGTCTATTCTTAGGCAATGCGATGAGAGTGAAAACATAGTCATTTCTCTAAGAAGTTCAGAGACAATATAAATTCGACATACAAAGACAAGAAGATGATGTGGTAAACTAGAAAGGAAGGAAAACATAAGAGAGGGGAAATTAAAGTAGAGAGAAAAGAAAATGGGAAAAGGGGAAGTAAAAAGAGAAAGAATGCAGTTAAGAAGGAGAAAGACATTGAATAATCCGTGAGTAAAATTCAGGTAACGATTCAGTATTATTTTTTCTATTAAGACCTTGTCTGTCTTTTGATGTGAATAATTTCAGACACTAATCTTTTGTTGTACGAAGATTCGCAATCCAAAATTTTCAATTCGTTCCATCTAAAATTGTGGTCAAAATTGATACGGTGATCAGTTATGACAGTAGGAGAACCAGAATTCTTCCTAATATCAGAGATATGTTTGTGTAATCTCGTACTTAATTTTCTTTTAGTCTGACCAACATAGCTCGCCTCACAATCGTCACAAAAAATCTTATATACTACGTTCTGGTTAGATAGAAAATCTAACTTATCTTTTCCTCTCTTAATAAAACTTTTCAATGTGTTAGTGATAGAAAAGGCTAGTTTACAATGAAACATATTGGAAATAAGAAGGAAACTTTCGGAAATAGATTTGAAGGAATCGTAAGGAATCGTAAAATATTCGTCTTTAACTTGTAAATTACGTTTACTAATAATATGTTATTATGTAAATGGAACTTTTTAATCTTTATTCAATTGTAGAGAAGATAAATGAGAGAGGATAACAGTTATTTAAGAAAATATGAATATAGCATCTATTAAATTTTTTTGTTAGAACCGTGGATGTGATAAGAGGATAATTTTGTCTATGAAGCTGATAATTGTGCCTTTTTTGTGGCAAAGAGAATGATTTGAATAGAAATTAAGGAACCTTCCTGAAAATGTCTTTTATGATGAATATCAAATACAATCCTCTGATCGTCTATGATAAGAGTTGTGTCAAGAAAACTCAATCTGCCACTTGTACCAACCTCCAAAATAAACTGTAATCTCGTATGTAAAGAATTAAAAATATTCAAAGCATCATTGATAGTATCAGATGGAAGTGCAAGAATGACATCAACATATCTAAAATAAAACAATAGTTGTACTGATAATTTATTGATTACTATTTCTTCTAGATATATATTTTGCATTACAATGTCGGCGATTGTCGGTGATAACGGTGAACCCATTGGAGTACCAAATACTCGTTTATAAGTTTTATTATTAAACGCAAAAAAAGTTAAATCTAAAATAAATCTAACTGTAATAGTGAATTCGTTTTTAGAAATGTTTGTCTTCGTTGAAATGTAAACCCATCTCCTATATGCTGTTTAATGCTAGATCCACAGGAATATTAGTAAAAAGGGATACTACATCTAACGAAGCCAAAACATATTGAGAATCAAAACGTGCCATTTAATTGCTCACTAAATGGAAACTGTCTTTAATGTGGCTAGAAGCTTTCGGTATACTGTCATTAATTATATTATGTAAAAAGAGAGAAAGATATTATAGTGGACTGTTAATAGAGGGTACAATCACTCTCAATGGATGCCGTTTTTATGTATTTTAGTCAAATCATAAGCCCTAGGTATAACACCATCAGTTGTAAGCAATCTACGATATGTTTGATCGTCAATAAACCGATCGCGCTTCCATCTTACAAGTAATGTACGTAAATCTTGAGTCAACTTTTTAATTGGATCTTTATTAACAATTTCATAAGTATTAGTATCTGAAAGAATCTCCTCCATTTTTTATACGTAGGCGTCTTTGTCAAGGACAACGGATAACATTTCCCTTATCAGTCTTTGTAATGAGTATATTTGGATGGTCATTTATAAATTTATTTGTTACGCATATTCACTCTAAAATCTGTTTGTCAGTAAAATTAGGAGAAGGAAAATTATTATGAAATCTGTTAAGTATTGAGATAGAATTATTTCTGACAAAGTTAATAATATTTTTGGGTCGACCAGTTATATTATTTTCAATGTGTTTAATAAATTCAATTAAAGTTTTTTCTTTGTTGTCTCTATTAATAGGAAGTCCAAATTTTTCACCAAGTTGTAATAAGTACCGAACTTCTAAAGTAATGTGAATTCTAAATCATTGCTGCTCAAATTAACAAACCATTTGTCATGCAGCGAGGGGGAGGGGCGGCTCACTAAATTTAGTATATTTAAATAACTTTAATATTTAAAAGACATACATACGTTGCGACAACGTTTGTGTCATTCTCAATGTACAACAATAATAAAAACTAGTTTTGAACGGTTAACATATTAATTGAGCGAATTAAGCATTAAATTTACTCTGCTTTCCTTCAAACCATCCCCCTCTTATATATATTAGTCGCCAAAGGTGGTAGGCAAAGCGTCAAATTATATAGCAAAGCGAAAAATTATATGACGCTTTGTCTACCTATTTTAAATGATAGAAATTTATAATTTATTAATTAAATCTATTAACAACAAAAACATCAACTGTCTATTTTAATATGATATCAATTTGATTGATATTCGATTCCAAGTACCAAGCTTGATTTTTAAATTATTCAATAGACGCCTTCTTAATATTTAAATTCTTTAATATATTTAAATAATATTTAAATTATATGTATGATATATCGTATAGAGGAAGTAACAGGTTCTAGGGGCGAATTTAAATTAAGAACTATTTTCATATTTATGTAACAATGGTACGAACGCACAATAAGTCTCTTTGTCGATTCGAAGGAATGTATAAATAGCTATTAACCTTCTAGTCCTGTACATCCTTATTCTAATATATATAAGTAAAGAAATATTTATATATGTAACAGTTCTCCCTGAGAGTTTTCTCTTTCCTTCTTAAAGAAACTTCTTCTAAAACAAAAAGTCGGACAAAATGAAAAATATTGAATCTAATACACAATAAAAAATTAAATATAAATTCGATAAAAGGCACCAGTTTTATTGTTCTATTAGTCATGAGTCATACTTTTCATTAATTTATCACGTTGCGATTTTATTTGCATGCATATCAAAGCGATCGTCAGCATTTTTACTTGATATTTGTTATAATTTTTAATTTATTTGTTATATTTTCAGAACAACGGATTGTAATGCGCGAATGGTGCATTCTGCAACACAACCGACAAACACATGGGTCACAAGCAAAGACGAAAGTCGAGAGATGATGGCATTGTGGCCAGATGTTGTTCGTGATCTCACAGATTCGACTAAGAATTTCATTATTCCTGATGCCACCAAATGGATGGCAAAAGTAAATTATTATTAAAATACTGTATGATTTATATACACATAAAAGATGAGATTAAAATTCATACAGATTAGTCTGCACTAATCTGTTGGAGAATAAATTTCCTCAGTATATGTGATCGGACACCATAATTGTGAAATGTACATAATATAAATATATACAAATTTAAAATGAAATTTTATTCATAACGACATATTGTTATAAATTTATGAAAGTCAAAATTAAAATTCAAAGACAGATATCTACAAAAAATGTAAATATAAGAAAATATTATTTTGTAAGATTTAGTAGAAAATTAAAAATGTCGAGTATTTCACTAATAAGTCATTGAACGAATATGCAGGCTGATGATGTTTTCTCTGTTTCACAGGTATTACAGTACAATGTTCCAGGAGGAAAAAAAATTCGCGCTTTAACATTAGTCTATGCCTATAAGGTACTAGCACCAAGTGATCAACTTACAGAAGAAAATATTCGTTTAGTACGGATCTTAGCATGGTGTGTAGAATTGGTGCGTAAATTTGTTTTTTTCTCTTTTTTCTTTACATTGACACTCATTTTATCCATAAACTAATTTGAGTAAATTAAATGCAAAATGTAATATTTTAATTTATAATAACTTAAAATTAAAGACAGTATAATCAGTGATTTTAATTAAAAATATAGTATTATAATTATAAATTAAATATTAACTTTTAATACATTTATTGCTACATAGATGCAAGCCTTTTTGCTCATTGTAGACGACATACAGGATCGATCTTTACTTCGCCGAGGCCAACCATGTTGGTACCGATACAATGATCTCGATTTAGCAGCAATCAATGATAGTTTATTGTTAGAGTGTGCTATATTTTATCTAATTAAAAAATACTTTAAAGGGAAAGATTGTTATGTTGATCTACTAGAAACATTCCACGATGTGAGTAAAGATATCTCTCTTTTTT